CACCTGAGTATGTGGCTGTCTATCTGTCCGTCCAAATTAAGCTTGTTACCACTCTAGCATCCACATACTCTAAGCAATATGACCAGAGTTATCTGTCCTTGCTTTACAATATATGTTATATTTAAAATTGTTACCACTCCAACGCTTTCATTTCTTCTTCAATCATGACAATTTTCATATTATGGGTTATACTTTGTCTTATTTCTTTTTAAAATCCTTATACATGATTTGGCGACTAAAAGCCACAATCCGACAAAAGTTCTCAGGCACGCTTATGTATGACAATGCGACTAAAAGCCACAATCCGACAAAAGCTCTCAGGCACGCTTAAGTATGACAATGCGACTAAAAGCCACAACCCGACAAAAGCTCTCAGGCACGCTTAAGTATGACAATGCAACTAAAAGCCACAACCCGACAAAAGCTCTCAGGCACGCTTAAGTATGACAATGCAACTAAAAGCCACAATCCGACAAAAGCTCTCAGGCACGCTTAAGTATGACAATGCAACTAAAAGCCACAACCCGACAAAAGCTCTCAGGCACGCTTAAGTATGACAATGCAACTAAAAGCCACAATCCGACAAAAGCTCTCAGGCACGCTTAAGTATGACAATGCGACTAAAAGCCACAACCCGACAAAAGTTCTCAGGCACGCCACGCTTAAGTATGTTAATGCAACTAAAAGCCACAATCCGACAAAGCTCTCACGCACGCTTAAGTATGTCAATGTTACTAAAAGCCACAATCCGACAAAAGCTTTCACGCACGCTTAAGTATGGCAATGCGACTAAAAGCCACAACCCGACAAAAGTTCTCACGCACGCTTAAGTATGGCAATGGGACTAAAAGCCACAACCCGACAAAAGTTCTCACGCACGCTTAGGTATGGCAATGCTACTAAAAGCCCTATCCGACAAAAGTTCTCACGCACGCCTAAGTATGGCATTGCGACTAAAAGCCACAATCCGACAAAAGCTCTCACGCACGCTTAGGTATGGCAATGCTACTAAAAGCCCTATCCGACAAAAGTTCTAACGCACGGCATGTATAATAGTGATACATTACTAGTACATGTATATCAGCTATACAAGGCTAAAATAACAGTGATACAAGGCTAAACTAACAGTTATCAACGGCTAATATAGCAGTGATACAAGGCTAATATATCAGTGATACAAGGCTAATATAGCAGTGATACAAGGCTAATATAACAGTGATACAAGGCTAATATAGCAGTGATACAAGGCTAATATAACAGTGATACAAGGCTAATATAACAGTGATTCACGGCTATAATAGCAGTAATACAAGGCTTATGTAACAGTCATACATGGCTAATATAACAGTGATACACGACTAATATAGCAGTGTAACAAGGCTAAAATAACAGTGATTCATGGCAAATGTAACAGTGATACATGACAAATAGACTAGTGATACACAGCTAACATAACAGTGATACAAGGCTAATATAACAGTGATACACGGCTAATATAATAGTGATACACGACTAAAATAACAGTGAAACAAGGCTTATATAACAATGATACACTGCTTATATCACAGTGATACATGGCTAATATTACATTGATGCATGGCTGATATAACAGTGATACACAGCTAATATAACAGTGATGCACGTTTAATAGAACAGTGATACATGGCTTATATATCAGTGATGCACGTTTAATAAAACAGTGATACATGACTTATATTAGAGTGATGCACGTTTAATATAACAGTGTTACACGGCTAATATAACAGTCATACACGGCTTATATAACAGTGATACATGCCTTATATAACAGTGTACATGGCTAATATAACAGTGATACACGGCTTATATAACAGTGGCACACGGCTAATATAACAGTGATACATGGCTAATATAACAGTGATGTACGTTTAATATAACAGTGATACACGACTTATATAACAGTGATACACGGTTAATATAACAGTGATACACGGCTTATATAACAGTTATACATGCCTTATATAACAGTGTACATGGCTAATATTACAGTGATGCACGTTTGATATAACAGTCATACACGGCTTATATAACAGTGATACATGCCTTATATAACAGTGGTACAAGGCCAATATAACAGTGATACATGGCTTATATAACAGTGATGCACGTTTAATATAACAGTGATACACGGCTGATATAACAGTGATACTCGGCTTATATAACAGTGATACACGGCTATTTTAGCAGTGATACACGGCTAATATATAAGTGATACACGGCTGGCTAATATAGCAGTGATACTCGGCTTATATAACAGTGATACACGGCTATTATAACAGTGATACACGACAAGGCTTATATAACAGTAATACATGGTTAATATAACAGTTATACGCGGCTAATATATAAGTGATACACGGCTGGCTAATATAACAGTGATACTCGGCTTATATAACAGTGATACACGGCTATTATAACAGTGATACACGACAAGGCTAATATAACAGTAATACACGGCTTATATAACAGTTATACGCGGCTAATATAACACTGATGCAAGGCTAATATAACAGTATTATACGGCAATTATTGCAGTGATACACGGCTAATACGATAGATGACTAATATAACAGTGATATAAGGCTAATATAACAGATATATTATGGAAGTGTAACACAATTATAAATATAACAGTGCTGTTATACGAAGAAGTCATAGACCAGAACTGCAAAACGAGAGTCGGATTTGGCTTGTCCGGCTTTACACATAAATGGAAATCAAATAAATATCTCTTTAAAAATATGTAGAAGAAGAAAAGATTGTTTCCAACTTGTACCTCATAATATAATAAAAACAACAGTGTCATGATAATTCGGATCTAATGGCTAAATCACTCATTCTCACTTAAGTACGATATTTCATAAATTCTAGAACTGAAAAATGAACTTTCTTAAATATTAAAATTCTATTCCATTCCAAAATTATAAGTATATCGACATCTTAAATATGAAATATTACCAGTATAGATGTCCTAGATTTTTCTTTATGACAGGTTTTCTGAATAGAACCAGAAAATAAATTTCGCCATTTTCGAGACAATGGTCCTTTAATTTGTGCATATGGTATGGCGATTTTATTTTGTCTCTTAAAATAAACTTTATATCATATATTTATATGAACATCTGCAAATGAGAATCAATCATTGAACTGACAAAAAATACATCTCAATTTACGTCATCTCATATATTGGCAATTTATTATGGACTCGTTTTGCAAAACGGCAACGTTCGAATACTATCTCAAGAGACCTCCGTGATTCTCCGTGATTCTCCGTGATTCTCTGTGTTGTACATATTTACAGGCAACTTTTGACTATTATCTCCGTGATTCTCCGTATTGTGTATATATATATACAGGAAACGTTTGCTCAGTGATTCTCCGTGTTGTACATACATACAGGCAACGTTTGAATATTTTCTACGTGGATTTCCGTGGATCTTCGTCATTCACGGTGATTCTCTGTGTTTTACATACATACAGGCAACGTTTGAATATTACCTACGTGGATTTCCGTGGACCTCCGTGTATCTCACGTCATTCACGGTGATTCTCCATGATTCTCTGTGTTGTACATATATACAGGAAACGTTTGAATATTAATTCCGTGAATCTCCGTGATTCTCCGTGATTCTCCGTGTTGTATAATATACAGGCAACGTTTGAATATTATCTCCGATGAAACTGTTATGTACATAGTTGAAGTGGACATTGTGTGGAATTTTCGTTGCCCATTTTTAAGTGCAAAAAAATGTTCAAACATTACTTCAGCCAAAAAGGAGCCCTTCGATTATGATTTTTATTGATGACATTAGGTATTCTGAAGAACAAAATAAACAGAATTAAGAAAGGGGAAAATAGTGATGTTCAGCTTGCATGAGTTATAATTATAATTGGGACATTATCGTGATCAAAGAAAAAAATCAATCTAACTTGACAGTTCTTATCTCAAAAGTCATCAGAAAGCGTGTCGTTCAGAATGTGTATTGTTTGTTCAGGGCTTCACGTTTTAAGTACTAGTATGAAGTGGTTGATTTCTATTCAATAAGCATCGAGTTATCCCGAATAAGAGACATCGTAGACTGGTTCCCTGGATGGGAACCATAATAGGACAGGGAACCAGATTAGAGACACCCCGACATAACTATTTCGTGCCGTCATGTATATAGTTACACAAGGTAGGGGCAATCAGGTTTCACTAACAATGTTAAAGCTGCACGCCTCAGATGAATAAAAATATTTCATTAAAATCAAACCTGAGGAAAATGTATTAAGATTTTAAAAAAAGTATGAAGATTCAAAATGCTTGTAATAATTTACATGTTATGTGCGATTAATGACCCAATTTTCAGTATTTATAACTGTATTTACATGGGTTGTAAGTGCCATTGATAATGCGTAAATTACATTCTTTTGGTTACTTCTCAATATTTTACTGTTAAATACATTTTCAAATTTTCATGAAAATTAGCACGAATCTGGAGGCGTGCTGCTTTAAACATTTTAATACTCTTGAAAATAATACAAATGAAGAAAAATGAAAAAATGCAACTATTGTGGGTACAACGCAGGTACATGTATTTCCATTAACTGCAGTACTGGCGAATAGAGGATCGAACCCTTTTACAAACATTTATATATGTTTTAGTTGTTTGTTTGGATAGATTTATTTTGTGAGAGAAAATATTTGTAATCCGAATATATGAAACACAATAAGCATGTGAAATGCTTCCTAACACGTATCGAACATGGTCTCCATGTGAACGCTTTTATGTAAAATGTAATTTAAGATGCATAGACGTGGTTGGTAAAATCTGTACCCGTTAAAAGACATTGATTTATATATCATATAACTTCAAAACATGTGCCTTATCATCAGGTGTTATCGATTAAAACAACTGAGCATGTTGTGAACATGCATGAACGTGATATTCTATATTGATCTAACTTCAATTTAAGCAGAACAAAGTGGTTATTGGATGAAACGCTCGAGTTTTCTGTTCAGTATAAATATCACTTATAAAAGTTATAGTAATCAAATAGAGTGTGCAGGATTATTGATAAAATAACTCATATACCGTAAGTAGCCCTAAATTATGCATGCTTTTTTTTTTTTATAAAATAACACTTTGTTATGTAATGATATGCGACGCAAACTTTCGTGTTAATGATTAAAATAGGGAATCAAGGGCATTTGGCTCCTCGAACATGTAGCGCCTCGAATATTTGGCCTTTTATGCAGATATTTCCCTCCCCAACGTACCACTGTGTGGAACTTTTGAAAGGACTTATATTTTTTGATTGATTTCTTCAGTTTTCTTTATATTAATGTTCCGCATAGGAGATGATAATTATAATTAATTATAAGTTTTTGTTAGTGATCTATGGTGGCATACTTCTGTCACCAGATAACCATATAACTAACTTGTTAATTAAGAGGTTAACTAGTTACGTAACTAGTTAATCTCTTAATTAACTAGTTAGTTATATGGTTAACTAGTTACGTAACTAGTTAACCTCTTAATTAACTAGTTAGTTATATGGTTAACTAGTTACGTAACTAGTTATTTTTTCAATAAATAAAAGATTATAACGGGAAATAAATGCATATTAGTGCCTACAACTGCCATCCTTTTATTATTTTACCAGCTTAATATTAAGTGATTAACTAGTTACGTAACTAGATAACCTTTTAATTAACTAGTTAGTTATATGGTTATCTGGTGGCAGAAATATGTCACCATATTGATCTTATACACATATCAGTTCTATAATTGTTAATGGTATATTTGAATTTAAATTGTAAATTATTTGTTTCTTCTTGAAATTCATTCTATAATATAATAAATTTAACACGGGAGGGATGCGAATGTTCGCTCTTCGAAGTGACAAACGTCTGATTTAAGAAAACAATGGGGACAAATTTAACAATGGGGACAAATTTCCGGGGCGGAATTTTTGTCAGAGGCAGATAAATGTCTGAGGGGTCAAATTCCCGCTTTTCTTGTTGGAGTAGCACCCCCTTAATTTGTAGTTACCACCATGACGTAGTCCAAATATTTAGACGTAACCGCGGATTTGACGCTATTTTTTACACGGGTCAAATCCGCTATTTTCCGATAAACGTCAAACTGTAAAACAAAGAAAATGTGGTGTCTTTCAATGAAGGACTACACCATGACGGTGATATCTAGGTATAAGGAAAGAATTAGTGACACTGTGAATTATGTGCGTTTATACTTATAATGACGTCATTACGCTGCTTACGGATTGGCGCCGTTTTGTCAAAATATTTATTAACTGATATGGATTAAATCTACGGCGTTAGTGTATTTGTGATATTATTTCAGTATTGTATGAAGAGAAAACATAATAAGAACTGAAAAAAATATCAATAAAATGCTCTTTTTAATTTTGCTTTTTAAATAAAAGGTTTTGTAAACAATATAATCGAGGGAAGAAAATAACAGCCGCATATACTAGTACAATTAGTCCCTCTCCAGTGTTTATTAGCAGTTTTACACAATCTATTTTCTTCTTTGACTATAGTGACAAAATCGCGAGAAGTGTTAGAATATATTCTTAAACTACTCGTGATTTTGAAACTATAGACAAAGAAAAAATAACGGGAGTAATCTCCGCTTGAAAAAAAATAACATTAGTGATTTCCCTTATTTTATTTTTTTAGAATCGGAATAACATCGGCCTGAGCGATGTTTATCGGTTATTTAATACCGGTTTTGTCGTTTTGATGCGAAAAAATTAACCACTCAAGCCTACGGCCTTCGTGGTCAATTCCTTTGAAACAAAACTCCAAACTGATATTATTTCTTAATCAATATATCAACTAAGTAAAATGTAACTACTTAAAATTTAATGGTTCTATTAACAACAGTGGATACCATAAAAAAGTGGAGGTAGATTGGAAAATGTTTATAATTTGATTTAACAAGATATATAGAGTCAGGTCTTATATCAAAATTTGACAAACGCGTACTCACACCGTATTACCGGCGGCAGTGATGGCAGATATCTGAAAATTACCGATCGATACAGGTAGGTTATAAATTTGGTTGGTTTAATTATATTACACAAATACGGCCCAATTCATTGCTATAAAACTATTGTCGATTGAATGGAGATACTGTAAGATAATTTTCGACTCGTTTTTTCCTGTTTTCAGACTATTTTGAGCAGACTTAAAGTGAAAGCCTTAGAAAAATCCGTGAAAATGTCTGTTTTCTGTTCAAAATATCTCAAGTTTTAAGTAAATGGCAGGATTTCCTGTTATCAATATAAACGTTCATCCATTTGGGTCAATCAAGCCAAATATCTACCCCGTGAGTCTTTTCTTGAAAGTTTTACAGACGCTCAATCTTGTCCGGTCGAAGGAAAAATGCTGCCGTTGTAGGCAGATACATATTATAAATGCTGCCGTCGATGGCAGAAATACCATGAAAGTGGCTAACATTCTGACAGAAAATCAAGTTCAATCTTTTATCAATTCCTCTTTTCTTTGCGTCCTTTTAGTCAGAATTGAGACGTTAAACTATCATTTCTAATATTTTCTCAAGATAGAAAAGTTATTAACCCATTACCCCATGAGCATCTTGTGAAAAATGGCTGTTTTCATTGAAAGGTCTCCCGTTACAAGTTCAAGTTGCTATAAAACTATAAAAACTGCTTCAATACTAATCAAACTTGGCACAAATGTTGACTGGACCATTGCCTTTGCAACAACATGTTCAGTCTGAAATTTCCTGTTACCATAGCAACTAGGGGACATCTCAAAATTGCCAAAAATCACTATTTTGCGTTGATTTTTTCCATCAAAATTGATTTCAAAGTGCTGCCACTTCTCAATGGATTGAGATAGAGTCAAAGGCTTTTCAGCATTGTTTACACGTTACCTTATGATCGGCCTGGCGCCATTTTTAGCCTTCCACAAGTCCAAAGTTTTCTTGGCGATGAGGGGGACTCAGCCCCCCTTCAAAACCCCCAAACAGAAGGGGGCACATCCCCTTCTGGCAACCCCCTGATGTATCTTTTGGATGGGGGTGGGGGGGGGGGGGGGCGCCGAAAAAGTGGTCAATTTTTTAAACAACATTTATCAAACAAAAACAAGTGTTTGGGGGCCTAAATAAGGCATTTTCTCACCATTTGAGAAAGCAAAAAAGGAGGGGGGGGGGTGGGGTGAAAAAGGCGTAGAAAGGCGTATATATATCTGGTAATGGGTTAACAGAAAAGGATGGAAAAAAAAAAAACGAAATTACCCAAAAAACGCGTTTTTCCATGTTAAAACATGGCCTCACATATAATTTTGAAGAAAAATTGCTGTTTTGTAGATTTTTTGATTTTTTTCATTAATGCGGTATGTGCATCGAAAAAAAGCTTATTAGCAACATGCAGTTACAATACAAAAAGTTATGATTTAGTACCACAAAATTTTCACTATAAATAGAGAAATGAACATGAAAAACTCCATTTTTCTATATTCATGCATGTGTGCTTGATCTGTTGTGTCTGTCAGTTACATGCATACAATACTATATGTATCTTAAGTTTAGCAGCGCACTCCCTTTTTAAGACATAACGCCAATTGCATATTACAGCAAGTAACTTCTGTACGTGGATATTCATTTGCTAGCATATGACATTATTTTCTCGAGGTAATAATGTTCATCGCTTTATGACAAATAAAGGCTGAAATTTACTTAATCGGCGCAGATTATAAATCATTAAATTGATGTAATAAAGGGGAGACTATTAACCTCGCAACTGGCATCAGTGTATCATAAAACAATGTATGTTAATGTAAAATGGAAAGATAATATTATTGACAGTTCAAATATTTTCCTATATTATCAAGTTCTTGAAAAACACGACAACGTGGATTCATTTCTTTAAATTTTCATGTTTGTAATAGCGTTGTAGTTTGCCTTTGAATTACATTTACTATGCTAAACTATTAACAACATTATAACATCACGTGCTCCCATTTAACTATATATTTTTTCATTCATTTAAGTTGTAACCATGACAACTTATAAAGATGAACCTTTCGATGATCCATATCACAAGATGAAAATAAATCCTGTATTTATAGGAAAAAAACTAGAATTTTTTGATTTGTTATATTCTTTTTCTCTTTTTTGACCTTTCAATTCATATGAACAGATCAAGCACACATGCATGAATATAGAAAAATGAAGTTTTTCATGTTCATTTCTCTATTTATAGTGAAATTTTGTCGTACTAAATCATCACTTTTTGTATTGTAACTGCATGTTGCTAAAAAGCTTTTTTCGATGCACACACCGCATTAATAACTTTTCTATCTTGAGAAAATATAAGAAATGATAGTTTAACGTCTCAATTCCGACTAAAAGGACGCAAAGAAAAGAGGAATTGATAAAAGATTGAACTTGATTTTCTGTCAGAATGTTAGCCACTTTCGTGGTATTCCTGCCATCGACGGCAGCATTTATAATATGTATCTGCCTACAACGGCAGCATTTTTTCTTCGACCGGACAAGATTGAGCGTCTGTAAAACTTTCAAGAAAAGGCTCACGGGGTAGATATTTGGCTTGCGTGACCCCAAATGGATGAACGTCTATATTGATAACAGGAAATCCTGCCATTTACTTAAAACTTGAGATATTTTGAACAGAAAACAGACATTTTCACGGATTTTTTCCAAGGCTTTCACTTTTAACCTGCTCAAAATAGTCTTAAAACAGGTAAAAACGAGTCCAAAATTACCTTACAGTATCTCCATTCAATGGACAATAGTTTTATAGCAATGATATGGGCCGTATTTGTGTAATATAATTAAACCAACCAAATTTATAACCTACCTGTACCGATTGGTAATTTTCAGATATCTGCCATCACTGCAGTGATCTGCCATCACTGCCGCCGGTAATACGGTGTGGTACTTGACCTGCTATTATAATTCAATTATAACGAGTATTGTAAATTATAAGTCCAATGTTTACCCTCACCGATAAAATTCTAAAGGTTAAGAGGTTAAACTTTTCTTTACAATTTAATACTTTGCAAAAGGAATCTTACGTTT